CGACATTTTTCTCGCCGTTCGACCACATTGAGTGGGCTAATGCTTAGTTGTGTTGATCGGTCTGGAGCTTTTGCCGCTGCTCCTGTTCGCAGGAGGTCCTGAATGGCATCGCATGTGAAATTCGAATGCGTCTGGGCGCCTGCGTGGTTTTTCCTTTCGAAAGGTGCCGAGGGTCCATTCTTCCACGGGAACCAATATCCATGTGAGATAATGGACAGGATGAGGCTACTATCGCACCAGGAGCACCACCAGTGTAATGCTTGGTGGAGCCGTCCGCGCATTATAAACACTGTCTTGTCGGTTATCGCGTATTCGTACGTTGAGAGCGACGTCCCGATCCAACGGTTGTCGATATTTGCGTGGGGTTTTCATGCACAATCGGCTATCCCACAACATTAGCGCGTGCGTGAGCGGTTGAGTCACAGCAGGTCGCGCTCTTGAGGCGTCACTGCCTTGAGGTCTCTCTCTCTCTCTCTCTCTCTCTCTCTCTCTCTCTCTCTCTCTCTCTCTCTCTCTCTCTCTCTCTCTAATGGTCCGTATATTGATAAGCCAGAAGGGTACACACATGCAGTGAGAGACAGCCGGTTCTAACACGCAAGGTAACCTAGACTATCCAACCCCACTAAGTTACCTAGAGCTCAAGAAGAGGCTCCAGGACGGTAAAACAGTCCCCAAGGTACAATTCCTGCCCTATCCCTCCTACAGGCGGGTTCTCTGCAGCCGCCGCCTCTCCTAACTTGATCATGAGACCCACGGATTGGGCCCTCTGCAGTGCAACCGACCACCTCTGCCTGAACTGGTGCAGAAACTTCGCGGCATGATAGGATTTGGAGTCGGCGTTGAAGTATCGCCGAGCCGCCGTGTCCGCAAGCAGTTTCAGGAACACAGGGACCTCCGCACAAGGGCAGCCATAGGTCTCTACGGCGAGGGGGAAGAAGCCCACTGTCTCTGGCAGGTTTTCATAGTGCTTGATCTTTTTATCCGCCTGCTCCCTGGCCGCCCATCCCCTTCCTTTCCTAGCCTCCGGGTCCCTGGTACTAATAGGGTCCGTTACCGTCACATCACACACCCAAACCGCCCCACTGCTCCTGTCCGTCATGGTAAAGTCCGCGGTCTGCTCCTCTATGGGGCAGTACACGTTTGTTTCTCTGTGTACGATGAACTCCGCGTCCTGTGCCATGCTGATGCAAGCGTCGCGGAGCTCATTATGAGTATTCGTACGGTGTTTCCCTGTGCCGCAGCGGAAGAGGTGGTTGGGGAGGCGCGGGTCTGTGATAGCGGTGTGGTCAGTACAGTCACAGTTCTTCGGAGTGGAGAAAGGGAGGCCCAGCCGGAAGCGCACGGCGTTGCTGAAGTGTACCGGCCCGATGCGCCGAGAAGAAGCTACTGGTACCGTCGTCAGCCAGTCTCCTGTGCCGTAGCCAGTCAGTGAGAACATTCTCTGCGTGTGCCCAGACAGAGGATTCAGTCTCATTTGCCTTGTCTCTTGGACCTGAACCGCGTACCGACTCCCCTGCACTTTGAGGGCCAGCGTGTGCTGAAGCTTGATGTCTGACCTAGAGAGCCGTTCCTGGTCAACGACGTCGCGTGCATCTGTGGGCAGGGCAGTCTCGCACTCTGTGAGCCAGGAATGGAGCGGTGTGGTGACGTCCCGGGGCAGAATCATGTGGCTGTGTGCTCGGGTCAGTGCTGTGTCTGGTGCTAGCGTCAAGGAGGAAAAGAAGAGTGCGGCTTGTGTGAAACTGGCTACGAAGCCGTAGACCCCTTCCACGAGCGGGTCCGTCAGTCCTAAGCCACCCAGGGACGATGGGAGCGAAGCCTGCGCCCATACTCTCGATTGCTCCGTGCTACACGTCGGGACTTTAATCCCGCAGGATGTCAGGAGCGCAGCCAGTAGGTCCCGCCCCCACTGCGCCCAGGTGTCTCGTGGCAGGAGGTTCAGTGGCGTGGTCCTAGTGAGGTATGCGGCGCGTCTAGAAATGCAGCGGGTCAGTAGCAGGGAGGCTACTTGGGGGTCGGCGCGTTCTAACAGTGGCAGCGGCTTCGCCATTTCCTCCAGCTGCCCTGCCAGGAACTTGGCCGCACCCGCCGCTGGCCCCAGGAAGCTACCTAGAAGGCGTATCCCGTCCTGGGATAACGGGACTCCTGGCGGTAGCTGAATCTCCTCGTCGCCTCTCGTGCTCCATGCCGCACATTTCTGCGGATTGTGTGTAAGCCCCAGCTGCGCTAACTTGCTCGTGAAGAAATTGAATGCTGCTACAGTGTCTGCGTTGTCCCCCAAAAACGTCACGTCGTCTGCATACGCCAAACAGAGAACGTGGGGGTGGGCATCTGCAGTTTCGCGAAGTGCTGGGTGGATCCCTGCTGCGAACAGTAGAGGACCGAGAGGGTCTCCTTGTCTCACCCCGCGTTCACTGTTCAGTGGGTGGCTGGCGAAATTCGAATCAAGGTACAGCTTCGACGGGTTACCGTACGTTAGCCGCACTAGAGGGAGCAGTGACGAAAGGTTGCTGTCGCAAATTCCGTTGATGATTGCTTGTCGCGAAATGCTGTTAAAAGCATTCGAAATGTCTGTCTATAACACCACGCAGCGGTCCCTCGAGTCAACGAAGGCACGTGCAACGTGGATGTTCGCTTCGGCCCCCCCAGGTAGCGCCACCCCGTACTGTAGAGGCAGGAAATGGTCACGTGCAGCTGCCCCAATTGCGGTCAGAGCAGCCTTGCCTGCGAGGCGCGTCAGGCATTCGCCAATTGCAATTGGCCGAACCCCCCCGCCTGGCTTGGACAGCGCTATTAGGCGCGACGCCGTCAGCAGGTCTGCCACTGGCTCGGGTAATTTTCCTGCCAGGATGGTGTTCACTAGGGCATGTAGGTGGGTGCAGACCAATGCGTTGGTTGCCGATGCGTCGCGAAGGTGTTCGAAGGCGGTTCCTGACGGTCCGGTCCCCACACCATTTTCGCACCGACCCAGAAGCTTGGCGAGATCGGCTTGGCTGATTTGCAGGTTCGGGCCTGGTGTCGTTGGCCAGCTCAGCTGCTCGTCATCGGCTCGGGGGTGTTTCGCGCGGAGTTCTTCCAAAACTGCTGGGCCAGGTGGGCAGACTGGGGTTGACTCGAGGGCCAGTACGGCTCGGCGGAGGCTTCCTCGCTTGGCCAGGCATTCCGCCCTGCTGAGAACTCCTGCCTCGTCTGGCTGGTGACGTGGAGGCGGTGGGGTGTTGTTGGCTTCGATCGTGTCAGTGTACAGCTGCCCCCATTCGCCACGCTGGAAAGCTCTGAGACGGGCTTTGACTTCGGGCCACTTCGGTCTTCTTGGCGACGGTTGGCGAAGTGTGAGCCGAGGGAGAAACAGCAGCAGTCGCCAGCCTGCGACTGAGTCAGGGTTTTGCGCGAGGTGTAGGAGCGGGGTGAGTAACACCAGCGAAAATAGCTGACACAAATTGGGCGGTAATCGGCGCGACAGGGATGGCTGACGACTGTCGCAAAGTGCCGCCAAGTCCCAGTCATCGATGGCTGCGAACAGGTCTGATCGTTTCGCCAATTCCCCTGGCGAGAAGTAGCGGGGGAAATGTGCTTGGTTTGCGGACGCGCTGCGAGAGCGCGCTGCCTGATGACTCTGCTCGCGCCTTTGTGCGTTGCTCTGTCCAGGAGTTTGGATTGTGGCCGTCCGATTGATCTGTTGCCTGCCTCCTTCCTCGTCCGCCATATGCTCACCAGCTCGCCTCCCAGTCCCTAGCCTCTCTCCTGCATCATCTGTCTCCTCCTCGTCGTCTTCACTTTGTGGGAGCGGCTCCTCCCTATAAGAAGGGTCCTGTTGTTCCTCCTCCTCATCAGTTCTCTCCAGATTCGTTAAAGCCTGTCTCCCTGCCGCTTGGAAGCCATTCTCCGGTCCACCCCCTGCGCCGCTAGCCGTCACTCTCCCTCTGCCTCGCCCTCCTCGGCCTCGCGATGGTGATTGCTGGGCCGACCGATTATTCGCCAATGCATGTTGGCGCTGCGTCGGTTGCGTTCGGAAAGCCACCGCCTGCCTCCGGAACGGGGACCATGCCGACGGGCTCCCCAACGCTGCCTGTTCCGAGGCTCGTGACAGTAGACGCTGAAATCTTTCCTCGCCCCGCACCGTCGTTTCAAGAGGCCTTGGCGTCTCTTCCTGTCGTGCCGCCTGTTCCCCTCGCGGCGGCGTTTGATGTATCTGCTCCGTCAGTCGTTCCTCGAGTTGCCGACCCTGCTGTTCCGTCAGCAGCCGCCGCGCGGGCGGTTGTTGCTGGCGGCGTGACTGACCAGCCGGAGGGGTCTGCCACCACTGACGTCCAGGGCCACCCGGCGCTTCCCGCCTCTCCGGCTCCCCCGTCTGCGCCGCCTCCGACGCTGGCGCCTCCTCTGCCTGTGCAGGCGGCATCTGCTCCTGCGGTGGCCATGGCTGTTCCCTCTGCGCCTCCCGCGATTGCGCCCTCTGCACCGTCTGCGGGGGCTCCTCTCGTGCCGCCTGCTGATGCTCCCGTTGCCCAGCCGGGTGTTGCTCCGCCTGCTCCGCCCGAGGCGGGTCTGTCTGCGCCATCTGTGGCCGTTCCTGGTGCGCCACAGGTGGCGAATCCCTCTGCGCCGACCGCTCGGCGTCCGCAGTCTCCTGGCCGTCGTCAGCAGCGGCCGCAGTCCCCAGCGCGTCAGGACGTACGCGCGACGTCCCGGCGCCGCCACAATTCTCCGCGGCGCCGCGGCTCTCGGGCGAACTGGGCGGCGCAACGCGGCGACCGAGGCGGCTGGTGGGGGCCGCGTCAGCGGGATGGCGGCTGGGGGTCTGATCAGCCGGTGACGATGGCTGATCTGCAGCGCGCGGTGTCTGCTGCTGTGCGCGAGGAGCAGAACGGGCAGACGAGCCAGAGCAACTCCCCGCGTGTTGCTCAGACCCCCGCGGCACCTCCTCCAGCAGCACCTCCTGCCCTGGCAGCCCCTCGTCCTCCTGCAAACGTTCCTCCTCCTCATGTCCCCGTGGCTGCGCATTATCCGTCCGTGCTGCCCGTTGATCCCGCTCCCCCATCCACAGGTGCGGCGTACTCGTTCTCGGCCCTACTGGGGCCTCAGCGTCTGGTCGCGGTTCCGGAGGTGACCCTTGGTCAGATCTGGCGCCTCTCGGAGGCGCTGCGGGTCGTGCATCTGGTGCAGGTGTATGGTCATGCCGCCCTGTCCCAGGGCGACTCACTGGTGGGCGGCCCTCGGGACGATTGTTTCGCGGCAGCTGATCGCCTCGCCGAGCTGCTAGCGCCCGTGTTGGCTGCGCCCGCGCCGGGTGGGCTTGCGGGGGTCGGGCCCCTTGGTTCTGCTGTGCGTGGGCTGCGGCGGTTGTTGCATGCAGGGACTGGATTCGGGGCGATCGCCGCAGGCACGGTGTTGGTGCGTGAGTTGCATCGCACGCTGTCAGGGCTGCTTGCTGTGTTTGATGCGGATCAGGTCTAGCGTCCGCGTGCCCCGGGAGCTCACCGCGTGTAGATGCGGGCTCCTCTTGCTCCATGCTTCACCTAGGCTAGAGTGGTGTGTGCCATGCGTGTATGTGTGCCAATAGTTGCTTGTTTTGTGTGTTTCTTGCCACCCCTCACGCGCGGCCGAAGGCTGCGCCGTCGAGCGTCGGCCGCCGAAGGCGGCCGGCGCGAGCCGCTCGGTTAGGAGAGAAACCCAACCAAAAACTGAATAATGAAGAGGCCACAAGGCCTGCTGAGGCCTTTATACTAGGACCAGGGAGGCTAGGGAGGCTAGGGGAGGCTTGAGAGGCTAAGTCACTAGGTGGTTCTCTCTCTCTCTCTCTCTCCTCTCTCTCTCGCTCGGTTAGGAGAGAAACCCAACCAAAAACTGAATGCAGTGAGCCGAGCTGCCGTTGTTGTGAGGCGCCCCTGTCTGAACTTCGTCTTTGTCGCGTGGGTAGCCAGCATGCGAAGGAACTGGATTGTGTCTGCCGCCATGGCCCTGTAGGTCTCGACAGCCAGTCCAAAGAATCCGGCATAGGTGGGGCGCCCTTCATATAGCCGATGCTTCCGCTGTGAGGCTTCCTCCGCGGCCCACCCAGGCGGCCTGCGGGCCCTGCTGTCTCTGTTCTGTAAAACTGGGTCTGTCACGGTGACATCCGTTACCCATGTCGCCCCCGACTCCTGGTCCCGTATTGCTAAGTCTGCCCGTTTCCTGAGGATTGGTGGTGAGAACGCTGAGGTCTCATGAAACGTTTTGTAGCCCGCCTCATTAGCAATCCACAGCGCCGCATAGACTAGGGCGTTGTGGGTCCTGACGGCATCACCCCCGTCCTGGCAGCGCAGCAGGTGGTTCGGCAAACTCTTGTCCCCGATCGCCGCGTTGTCACGTTTGCACGGGCACACGTCAGCTACTGGCAACTCCATGCCCAGGCGTAGGCCCAAGGCCAACGAGAACTGACCAGGGGAAATAGAGAGGTCAGCTCTCGTCGGTACCGCATGTAGCCAGTCGCCCGCGCCAGTCCCTCTCAGGCTTATCAGTCTCAGCGCGTGACCTCTGTTGGTGCCAGGCCTGTCCGCCACCGTGTCCCCCAGGAGCTCGACCGCCCGCCGCTGGTTGATTATCTTGGAGAGGCACAGCTGGAGGCTGCGTGTGCCCTTGTTCCCCGTCCTGTAGGCTCCCAGCGCCACCTGTGCCTGGGCTGGCAGCCCCTTCTCTAAGCTTGACAGTGTGCTGCTGTCCGGCGGTGGTGGGCTCCAATCGTGGGAGAGCAGGGCCGTTGCTCTATGTAGCAGGCAGTCCGGAGGAAGATTCAGGTGCTGCAGAAGGATGTGCGCCGCCGTGACAGAAGCGATGTAGGCGGCCGGGGCCTCAGAGACAGGGTCAATGATTCCCAGACCGCCCAGCCGAATCGGGAGGGTGGCCTGTCGCCACAGTAAGCTCTGCTCCAGCTCCGAGTTGGGGATGCGGAGCCTTGCAGCTGTGAGCGCCGAGCCAACCAATGCCTCACTCCAGTCCCTCCACTCCTCAGCGCCCAAGGTCGTCGCCGGCGTCGTCCTCAGCATGTATGAGATGCGCCGGGATATGCTGCGGGAGATTATGAGCATGGCATGTTGCGGGTTTAGCTGAGAGACAAGGGGAAGGGGCGAGGCAGCTTCCCCCAGTGCCGCCCGGACTTGGGCAGTGCAGAAGTCGTCGCTGCCGATAGGGCTGCCAAGGACCCGTATCCCGCCCGGGTCCGCCACCAAGCCTAGTGGTAGCTCCCTGTTATCTCCGTCGTGCTCCGCTCCCCATGCTGATGACTTAGAAATGTTGCAGCGTAGTCCATATTCGGCCAAGTCACCCGCTATCTTGGTGAAAGCACGGCACGCTGCTTCCCGTTGGCCGATAATGGTGATGTCGTCCGCGTAGGCTACCACTGCCACTTCCGGTGTAGTCGCCGAGACGCTCAAGAGGGCGGGCTGGATCGCTGCCGCGAACAAGAGAGGGCCCAAGGGATCTCCCTGTCTGACGCCACGTGTGCTCTGGATTTGGTCTACTCCCAGTCGAGCATCTACGAGCAGAGGCGATGGACCGTCGTACAGATTTCGGACCAGGGGAAGTAGCAGGCTCAGGTTGGACCACTGCAGCGAGCTTAGGAAAGCCCTTCGCTCGACACTGTTGAAGGCATTTTCGATGTCTAGCTGGAGAGCGATGCGGGTCTTTTTCTCACGGAGTAGAGAGCGGACCGTGTGGATGATGCACTCCGCACCTCCTGGAACCGCCACTCCAAACTGAACTGGTAAGAAAAAAATCCCTTATCTTGGGCCCCAGGGTATGAAGCGACGCCTTCGCCACTATGCGTAGCAGGGTTTTGCCTATCGCTATGGGCCGCACTCCCCCATTCGGCTTCTCTAGAGCGATCAGACGGGAAGGCAGTAGCAATTTCCTTACGTGGGAGGCCTGGAAAGTGCTGAGCAGCCGATTTACCATCTTGGCGAAAAGCAGCAGCAGCTCCTCGTTGGCTAAGGCGGGGTCTCTGAGGTGTTCAAAACAAGTCCCAGAAGGTCCTGCTCCAACACCATTCGGGCACTTTGCCAAGATTTCGCGAAGTGAATCCGGCGAAACCGCCAGTTCAGACTCTGTGACTCCGGCAACCCACGCTGGTATCTGACTACCCGCTGCAGGGTGTTTTACTTGCAGCGCTTCGAGTGTAGCCGGGGATGGTTCTGCTAGGGGGCACGTTCGGAGAGCTGCCACTGCTTTCGAGATATTCCTTTTTTCACTAACCCTCCGCTCTAGCGCAAACCCCTTCCTCGTCAGGCTGGTGCCGTACCGGGGCTCCTGTGTCGGGGATGAATCCCGCTTCCTCGAAAAGCCCAGACCACTCGCCTCGTTGGAATTCGTGCAACCTAGCTTCAATTGCAGCCCAGCGACTCCCCAAGACAGGTTCGGGCGCAGGCCTGAGGGTGAGCCTCGGAAGGAACAGCAGCACCGTCCAACCACCTGGGCAGCTGGGGTTTTTATCTAGGCGAAAGAGTGCTGCCAGCAGGCACAGACAGTATCTGTCCAGGATGTGTGGTGGCAGCCGGCGGACGAGGAATGGCTGGTCCCCTCGCTGAAGCACGTTGACATCCCACTCCCCCGCCATGTGCCAGATGGCGTCATCGCCGGCCAGGTCGGCCGGTGAAGGCACATCAGTCTCCTCTGTGGCAGGTGCTTCTCCTTCCGCTGGGTTGCTGGGAATACCCCCCGCCGCCAGTCCAGTTTGAGGTTCGGGGTTGTTCCTCCTCCTGGGTGCCTCCTCGTCTTCGAACGAGATTTCTTCCGAGGTCTCCTCCTCCCCAGCCATAAATTCAGGGTCGGCCCCGGAGTTGTCAGAAACCTCATGTCCCTCATTCGTCTGCGGGATCGCTCTCTCAGGCCTGGCGTGACGCTCCCGCCAGGGGCCAGTCCTCACGGGGATCTCCGATCTGGGTTGTTGGTTGCGCCCTCCCCGTCCGCCTCTCATCCCCCCGCACAAAACCCCTCGTTGTCCCCGCCTAGCCGCTCCCGCCGTTTCAGCCGCTCCGTTGCCACCGCGGCCCGCCGGCATCCACGGCGTGCGGCCTCCCCGTGGTGGTCCCCAGGTTATCGCTCCCAGCCGTGCCGAACTCCTGGTCCCTACAGCCTCTACCGCTACGTTCGAGCCCGCTGCTGCCGCTGTCGTATCTGTCACTGCCGGCGCCCCATTGGTGGCGCGGACTTGGTTTCCCGGCGCCTGCGTCGGCGCGGCCTGCGTCGTTGTCTGCGCGGTGGAGGTCGCCACAGCCGCTTCAACGTGAGATGGCGGCGGACGTGCTGGCCCTTGTGGCGACTGCCCTTGCAGCAGCCAGCCCAGGAGGGGTCCCGGGACGCCAGGTCCCAGCCTTGCTCCAGGCCGCCTCGGTGCTGGCTGGGCGCGGAGCTTCTTCCCGCGAGCGGCGCAAGAGGCGACGCCAGTCCCATGAACCGGTCTACCACTCCCCGCCCAGCCGTGTCCCTGCATGTTTGCGCCCCCGGCACCAGCAGAGGTTCCGGCTGACTCAGCGGCAGGCGGCGCCGTCTCTTCGTTCGGGGGTAGTTGCTGTCGCCTCCCTGCCTCAACCACGACCGCAGCAACCTCAGCCGTCCCCAGCGGTGACGGGGATGCAGCCGACTCCGGTACCATTTGACACTCCTCCGCGGTCCCACCCCCCCCCTCAGGTAGCAGCGGTTCAGGCGGTCGCACCACAGCCGGCGAGGTTAAGCCGCTGTCAGAGGCGGCAGCAGTCTCGGCAGCGGACACTCCCCCCACCGTCCCAGCCGTTTGTGTCCCCTCCTGCGCCATCCTCGTCCCCTCATCCGCAGCAGCTGCGTCAGTCTCCTCCAGCAGCGCCGCACCCTCGGCCTCAGCAGCATCAACAGCCGCCGCCAAACCAGTTTCCGCTGCCCCAGCCCCAGCTGCATCAGCCGCCAGCTCCCCAAGTGCAGCCGTTCCCTCCCATCCCGCCAGCCCCTCGTGCTGCTGCTGCTCCTGTTGCTGCGACGCCACTCCACGTCGAGCAGCGCGTAATGCACGTGGGGACGTGTCTGACTTTGCTGTCGTACGTCCTGGACCAGCTCCATGTGTGTTTGGCGCGCCAGAGTCTCGCCGTTGGGGGGATGGTACCGTCGGAGCAGTCGGTGGCAGTGGCACCAGCAACAAAGATGCTGCATTATCTCCCCTTGATCGGTCTTGTCCCTGGCGCACCTGGTGCAGCGCTCGGGTCCGGGCTTGGGGCAATGATGCGGCTTGCAGAGTCCGCTCAGCAGGCCCCCCTTGGCCTTGTATCACCAGCCGCATCCGTCCTGCGTTGGATGGACGGGAGGCTGTGCTGGATACTCGCCGAGTAGCCGATGTTTTCCCCTTGCCAGCACCCGTGGCGGTGGGCTTGGCCTTGGGCTTCCCCATTGCGGTGTAGGCACGCCCGGGGGTGCTGTTGTTGTTGTAGGTTACTACCACCGCATGTTGTACCACTTGTTGTTATAATTCTTGTCGTCCCCTGTCCTTGCCACACCTCATGCGCGGCCGAAGGCCGCGCTGGCGAGCCGCGGCCGCCGGTTTTGGAGAGTAAACTGAACTCACCAGTGAAGAATGAGCTCAGAAGGGAGCATCTAGGGCCTATATACTAGGTACTGGGCTGAAAAACGGCTAAGGACAAGATCCTACACTAGAGAGGGTTAGAAACGGCTAAGGACTAGGCCTAGCCATCTCTCTCTCTCTCTCTCTCTCTCTCTCTCTCTCTCTCTCTCTCTCTCTCTCTCTCTCTCTCTCTCTCTCTATATATATATATATATATATATCTATGGGCGTGACATGCCCTTGTGCTCCGTGAACTGCCTTGAGACCGACCGTCGTGTGGTCTGGCCTTCGTGGTGTTGGTGCAGCCCTACGGTTTGCACTCGGCTTGTTGTCCGTGTGCGTGCATGTGTGTGTGTATGGAATGGTATGAGGGCATGGGATAATATATATTTCATGCTTATAATTGTGTGTGTATGTAGAGTCATGATGTCGAGTGTGTGTGTCGAGTTAATAGCGAGTTATCGCTAGACGCGTGTTACGCGGTCGTTTGTGTCTCGCGCGCGGTTTCTATTTTTGTCGTGCGCGGTTTCTATTTTGTCGTGTGTCGAACGTTCGGTGTGTCGCAGGTGTGTGCAGCAGACCCATCAAGAACTCAAGGATGAGTTTGTGATGAAGAGCCCGAGCCTTGGTGTCAAGCCTCAAGTGATTTCGAAGCTCGCCAAAAGGGTACACCTCAAGATATTGAAGATACTTACATTACTTTGTGTAGTGTAACATTTCACTTGGTGTAGGCCCTAGTGAAGGGTAGCTTCGAGACCCTTCGTGGTTGGGGACAGTGTGGCACTGTTCCACATCACTGTACCTCGGCTCTTGGAGTTTGTAGGAGCTGGGAGTCATTCCCAACTCGTAACTCTTCATATCTCTTCCTATTTTGTGTTCTAAGACTATAGTGGCTCCCACAGTGCCGTTCGTTCAAACTGACACTTTGTCGTCAATACTTGGTGAAATTGTGCGATCTAAATTGCCTATTGTAGGTGACGTTCAGACGCTCCAGATCCAAGTTGAATCAAGTCATTTAAAGGTGTGACCAGAACGCTATGAACGTTTGAAGCCGCTGTATAGAAATCCGACTGTGCACTCTATCTTTCGTTTTAGGCACATTGGAGCCTACTGTGACTATGACAAGTGGTATCAGAGCCTCTTGGAGCAGTTTCGACAATGGCTGGACCTGAGGAAAGGGGTGGCAGAGGTGCTGGTGGCAGAGGAGAAGCCCAAGCTCAAGGCCAACCCCGTGATTCAGCCATGGCGCCTGTGCAATCAAGTGTTGGCCCATCTAGGGATGAGCCTAGAGTGTTTGGCCTTGACAAGTTCAATGGTGACAACTTTGCTGAGTGGTCCTTCAGAATGGAGAACATTTTTGACCACTATGACCTGCTGGAGGTAATGGAAGGAACGGAGAAGCGTCCCGAGAACGACCCGGAGAAGAGCCCGTGGGTGCGGAAGAGCGCACAAGGCTACCTCCTACTTGGGCAAGCGTTGGGGAGCAGCCAAATCCGTCACATCAAGCCTTTCCAGCGTGAACCAGAGAAGGGACCAAAAGCATGGGCTGCTCTCAAGGGTGTACACGCTCCTGCAACAGCGGCGGTAGTTGTGAAATGAGTAAGCAGGAATGGTGTGAACTATGAGTGAAAGCAGTACAAATGTGAAACCCTAACTGGGTTGTACCCCCTATGGGATACCCCACTACAGCCTACACAGCAGTATAAGCTATAGACATGTTCTGACACACCCCCATAGGCAAAGTGGGGGAGAACAAGGGGTCACAAGACCAGTCAAGCAAGACAAAGCAAAGCTCAGGGTGGATCACAAAGTCACCACACAATCCGAGCACAAGAGCAAGGCCAAAGGCCAGTTCACAAGCAAGAGTACAGACATATATATAAAACTAGACAAGCAAGAGCAGGTATATATATATGTCACAGTACAAGTAAAGTCAAGAGGAGAGCAAGTGAGGCAAGACAGGCACAAGACCCAGCTGGGTGCAGAAGCGCTGATGGTCACAAGGCGCAAGTGCCTTGGTGAACACATCAGCAGTGTTGGCCTCAGAGGCCACGTACGCAAGTCGCAACTGACCACGCTGCTGCAACTCACGAGCAAGGAAGTAGCGGAGAGCAATGTGCTTCGTTCTGTGCTCCAAGCGCTGCTCTCGACACAAGGCCAGCATAGCCTTGTTGTCTACGTACAGCACTGGAGGAGAACGAGGCGGCTCTCCAAGGTCAGTCAGCAGGTAGGTGAGCCAGCGAAGCTCCTGTGCAGCCATGGCTCCGGCGTAGATCTCAGCCTCACAACTGGAGCCGAGAACCGAAGACGAGCGAGTAGACCGCCACGAGACAGAGCCGGAACCAAGGCTGAAGGTGTAACCCTGTGACGACCGCTGCGTAGCCTGGTCGTCAGCCCAAGAAGCGTCCGCGTGGCCGGTAAGGACCACTGGACTCCGCCCTCCAAGCACTAGCCCCATGCCTGACGTACTGCACAGGTAGCGCAATACCCTCTTCGCTGCAGCCATGTGCTCCGGTCTGTGTCTCCCAGGAGCAACATAGCGTGCAAGAATGCTCAGAGGGTATGCAAGGTCAGGTCGTGTGCAGGTCATCAGGTACATGAGGCAGCCAACAAGCTCTGCATACGGACCACTCGACTCTACGGACTCATCCGAAGGCAGAGCTGAGAGTGAGTGGCGAGTAGGCAGAGGAGTGGCCTGAGGCGAGGAGTACGTGAAGCCGAAGCGCTGAAGGACCTGCTGCACCATGTGTGACTGAGTCAAGGTAATGGTGCGGCGTGCTCTTTCCCGAGTGATCTGCAAGCCAAGGTAGCTGCGCAGTTCACCCAGGTCTGTGCACGTGTGTCTCTTCAGCAGCTCGGACTTCACGTAGGCGAGTCCAGCAGTGTCCGCTGTGGCAAAGACCAAGTCGTCGACGTACACGAGGATGTAGAACGGCGGCACGGAAGTGTCGGTGCGAAGAAACAGCGACGGGTCAGCAGTAGAAGGAGCAAACCCAAGAGCCGCAAGCGTAGTCCTCAGTGTGTCGTGCCACTCACGCGGTGCCTGGCGGAGACCGTAAACTGGCCGTCTGAGGCTCCACTGGGTGCCAGGAGGGAAAGTCCCAGTGAAGCCAGGTGGACGGCGAAGCCAGATCTCCTCGTGCAGGCTACCCTGCAAGAACGCAGTGCTGAAGTCGAGAGAGTGAAGCTCGTAGTCGCGCTGAGCGGCTATGTGCAGCAGCACCCGAAGAGTAGTCATCTTCGGGGTGGGAGAGAAGGTCTGAAAGTAGTCAACTCCCTGCCGCTGACTGAAGCCACGAGCAACGTACCGTGCCTTGAAGACAGGTGGAGAGCCCGGCGGCCGCTTCACCCTGAAGATCCACATGCCACTGACGATGTTCGCCCCAGGAGGGGGAACCGCGTCAACGTAGGTGCCTGTGGACTTCCAGGAAGCCATCTCTGCATCCATGGCTGCCTGCCACTGAGAGGAGTAGGGGCCCTCTACGGCCTCCGCGTAAGAACGCGGAGTCGGGATGTCTAGTGCATCCGGGTCTCCCTCAGGGGCAAGCAGTACAGACGCGAGATGAGGTGAAGCAGCCGCTAGACACTGTAACTCCTCCTGCCTGTCCTCTAGGACGTCCGTGCCAAGAGCACACTCACCCCCGACGGACGGAGGACAGAAAGACGCAGACTCAGCAACAAGACTAGCAGCGTAGTCGAGACGACAGCGAGCAGCAAAGTCGACGAGCTCAGCGACTAGAGCAGACGCAGCAGTGGACTCAAAAGAGGGGTCAGTGACGACAGTAGCAAGCAGACGCGTGACAGTAGGACTCGCAGCGCGAAGAGAGTCCGACTCAGGGTCGGCAAGCGCAGGAAGAGAGGACTCAGGAGGAGAAGGCAAAGGGGCACGCAGAGGAGCAGTGGACGGACGCAGAGACATCCGGTGCGTGCCAGGGACAGGAGGAGGACGCTGACGCGAACCGCGACCACTAGCGCGAGCAGCACGAACAGGCGACGCGGGGCGAGACGCAGGCTCACGACGCTCAGCAAGACCACCAGTAGGACCAGTGTAAGGAGAGGGAGCAGGCAGTGGAGAGGAAGGCTCCAGTAGGGACTGCGACTGGACAGGCGGTGGACCCTCTACTGGAGGAGAAAGACCAAGAACCTGCTGAAGGAGCGGAACGAAGTACGGCCGAGGCCGCGCGGCAGCTCCAGTCTCAGCAGGGACAGCACCAGCACCCTCAGCGACAGCACCAGCGCCACCCACACCTCCAGCGGCAGGACCAACAGCAGTAGGCTCAGTACGAACGCCCTCAGCAGCTCCAGCTCCAGGAGGACCCGCAGGTCCAGCAGCTCCGGGACCGGCAGCACCCGCACCCTCGACGATCGAAGAAGCTCCAGCTCCAGCTCCAGCAGCACCTCCAGACTCAGCAGCACGCCTCCAGCGGCGAGCGAACCACTCGCGCAGCTCCTGTGGAGAGAGGGGCTCCCGGCGAGACGCAGCAGCAGGAGAAACCCCAGGCTCAGCAGCTCCAGACGTAGCACCCCCAGGCTCAGCAGCTCCCAGCTCAGCACCCCCAGGCTCAGCAGCTCCCGACCCAGCACCCCCAGACCCAGCACCTCCAGGCACAGCACCCCCCGGCTCAGCACCCCCAGGCTCCGCAGCCACCGCAGTAGCACCCCCAGGCACAGCACCCCCGCGCACAGTACCCCCAGAGTCAGCACCCCCAGGCTCAGCACCCGCAGCAGGACCAGAGTCACCAGTAACCTCGACCGGGTCAACGGCGTCTACCTGGGACACACCTGAGGGGGCAGGAACCTGAGGGGGGAGGGGGTCTACCGGGGGGGGA